CACAGGAGCATCTGCAAACCTCACAGCGCCACCCGAAGACTTTAAACGAAAGGCTGTTGGAAGTCCGTTCAACCCTGGTGATGCGCTCCGGCTTACCGCAATGGTAACATCGTCCTGCGTCTCTGCAAAACTCCCTAGGAACTGGGAACGACTGTTCGGTATGGAGCAAGTGTTATCATAGGTAACTTGACGAATCATGAAGCCAGACGGTCCTGGTTCCTCAACGACAGTACACCTTAGCAGGTAGATAAAAGGTAAAAGAGTCTCAGGCTCTGAGCACAGCGCCTCTTAGAAGCGAAGCATTGTAATGCCGGGCTCATGTTGTTTTAACTCCCTTCCCAGGATCCCCCGCTTTTCTGCCCGGTGTGACATGGACTAAGGACTCTTATACTGCTCATAGTTTTCCTTGGCTATCCGGCCATTCCCTGTCAGCAGTCACTCGATGTGTTGATCGTCGGCACTCGTTTTACTAGGTGGTTTGCTTTTAACTTCCGGCCGCCTACGTTCACGATGTTTTCCATTGCGATCTGCTTTACCTGTCGGACACGGTAAAACCTGTATCCGACGAAGGGGAGGAATATTACAAATACACTGCATACCACCGGATTGACGATACCACCTCGCATGGTGGTGAAACTTATGCAACTAAATTGCTAAGCTTGGCGAACAAATGCAAAACTGTGTCGAGTTTACTTTGCAAAACGTAGTTTAAATAGAAAAAAGTATGTTTGCAGTGACGAACAATTGGAATAAGCTGTTGTAGCAACACAAGGTAGGTTTGCGAGAAAGTTTCTTTTAACCGGGATGACCTTGGTGAGACTTGGCCAGTAGTGGCGGTTAGTCTGACACCAACCGAATCAAATACTAAACGATGCAATGCATGGTGCATATCATACGTGAGACTTGGTTCATGCTGAAAAGGAGCCAGAATGGGCTCAGACAAACCGAACTAGAGGTCAGAAGTCAAACACGAGGCATTCGTTAGCTAGTTAGCAGAAACCAGATTAGTTTCATTATCACTTTTGTGGGATCGTCACCAAGCAACTAAGTCTAACCAAAGTTGTCAGTTTATCCTGGTTTTCTAATACCGGCTTCTGCTTACGATTACTGAACGACGAGCGCCGGGCGCCTACAGGGAGGTTTGCTGGGGAATGTCTTGGCGAAGCGTAAATCCGAGTGGACATAATCCGACATCCCACACGCATCTAACTACAGGGGGCACCTCGCAACCCCATCGGGTTTCTTTGAAAGCGTTGTTTGAACGGAGTCAGTAAGTCAGATCGATGCCTAGGTCGATTCACTTAGGGTAGGCCTCGCAGCCGATTGTACGCCGCCTAGGGTAGGCCTCACACGAGTCTTTTCGCAAACTTCTTGAACGTTTTGTTTGAACGATAGGCGTGGAACAGTAGCAAGTTGTTCAACAGCTATGCGGTAACGAGAATATAGCCGTTCTAGCTCCGGGATACGCGATTGAACAGGTTCCATCAAAATGCAAGTGTGACGTTTACGTGCTTTGGTCGTCGGCCGCATGTGAGACATTCTAACTGACTTCCAATAAGTATCCGGACACTAACTGACTATTATCGGCTGCGAGACCTACCCTAAGTGAATCGACCTAGGCATCGATCTGACTTACTGACTCCGTTCAAACTCTTGGCTTGACTGTCCTCAGTGTAGCTGGCAGCAGCTTACCGCGTTGTGTGCTTTTTTCTTATTATGATAATGGCCTGATGAGTATAATCGAAAAGAGATCTCTTCGCTATTTGGATTTCTTATCTTAACATGGGCATTATTCATGAGTTGAAAATGTGCAAGCAGCCCTCAGCGTTTTCTGACTTCAACAAATCTTTGAAGTTTAGTCCGAGACTTGCGAATGCGAAAACTGAAAGTCGGTTTATATGTGGTTGTCTGGAGCGCGACCAGTTTCCGAAAATTTATTGGTAGTTACGTAGAAGGTCTCACATGCGGCCGACGACCAAAGCACTTAAACGTCACGCTTGCACTTTGGGTAGTCTGTTCAATAGCGAATCCCGGAGCTAGAACGGCTATGTTCTCGTTACCGCTTAGCTGTTGAAGAGCTTGATACTATACAACGCGAATCATTCGAGCAATATTTTCAAGAAGTTTGCGAAAAGGAGAATGGTACGCTAAGTTGTTAAAGGGTTTGCAACCAACGCAGCCGGAACAAATATTTCCGTAGAACCCGGAAAGATTTGTCCGCAACTTGTTCAACATACAACTTAATCACCTACACTTAGAGACTTCGACACTTGGACCGAAATTTTGCTTTTCTTAACCTGCCAGTGGGAAAGTTCATATCGAAACCCAATTCGAACATCAAATGCATCAACTAACTGAACTGACGCTCATGTCTTCGGGTACGAGTGATACCTTCCTTCACCTCGCCTAACTTTACTTAGTTTGTGATGCGAAACCATCAAACATCTTGTCCAAGAAACATAGAGACGCCGTCAAAGAATTGAGAGCGAATCCCGAACTGATACTTTCTGGACCAAACAAAGGTTCTGGTTAGGTACTAATGCATAAGTCTGACTCAGTTTCCAAGCTTCTAACTATTTTGAAAGATCCGAGCAAATTTTGCACGCGATGTAGTTTAAAAGGATACATCCGCACAGGACGAGGCCAATATCGTCAACCGACTGAAGGAGTTAAGACAAGCTAATCTGATAACCAACTCGTTACTTAATCGGTTAATTCCAGTAGGATCGCATCCTCCCAGACTATACGGACTTCCGAAAATGCACAAGCCAAACCTACCTCTACGCCCGATTATTGACAATTCCTCTTCCGCCTTCCACCCCGTCGCTAAGTGGCTAGTGGAAATGTTGGAGCCATTGCGCAAGGAACTTTCTACTTACTCACTAAAAGACACCCTTACATTCGTGAAACACGTAGAGAACCTGAATGTTCGTGGCAAACTCATGCTTTCATTCGATCTTGAACCACTCTTCACCAACGTCCCACTGTTAGAAACCGTCAAATTTCTTTGTGAATACATTACCACCAAGAATATAGACCTCGGGATTCCGTCAAGCAGAATAAAGGAACTTTTGTTGCGATGCACTTTTAACATGCAATCCCTATATCATGGAATCTAATACAGGCAAATTGACGTTGTGGCGATGAGGACCCCAAGCACCGCCCCTTGCTGACGTTTTCCTGACGAAGCTTGAAGGGGGACCTTTGCTGCCGGTTATCTAAACGCTTGATTCGTACCTGCTATATGTGGATGACACTTTCATCATTTGTGATTCAAACAGCGACGTTTCTCATCTCTTAGGTTAATTCAACAGCCCACATCCGGGGTTGAATTTCACCAGTGAAGTGGAAAAAGAAGGAAGACTGGCCTTTTTGGACGCGCTGCTGAAGCGACTGAACGACGGCTGTCTGGAGAGAAGCGTTTTCCGGAAGCCGACATGGGCGGGCCAAGACACACACTTTTAAGCTTCGTGGCTTTGCAACACAAGCGAAACTTAGTGCGTTGCTTACATTACCGTGCCGCCAGAATCTGCAGCCCGAAGAAGCTGGACGAAGAGAAACATCGTATCCTCAATATATTGCAAAAGAACGGATACCCTGTTCAGTTTATTAACAAGCAAGCCGCGATTCTTCTGCTTTCCGAAATCCACTTGACCGTACCAAAAAGGATGTGTTTCTATCGGTGCCATACAAAAGAGACGTTGCCTTGGACTTACTGTAAAGGAGACTCTCAGCCGCAGTGTTCAAAACCTACGCAGCCGCCTACCCACATGTACTTTCCTAGACCGCACACTTTGTACGCCGCGTCTCAAAGACAGGATCCCGGTCTTGTCCCAATCATAGATCTTGTATCAACTTACTTGCACCTGTGGTGCAATATACCTTAGGCATGCATGCAGGTGTCTGTGGAAACGGGTGGAGGAGCACTGTCCATGCTCGTTAAGAGGCATGAGCAGAAACATAAACAGTGTTGTCACGGAACATCTAATCCTAAGCGGACACGAAATTCAAACATCGGATGCTTTTAAGATCTACTCTATCTCACCACGCTATCTGAAGGCTCACAGAGGGCGGCTGTTACAGATAGCTGAAGCAGTTCCCATCAGGCTGACCCAGCCCGAAGTTTGCAAGTAGCGAGCCCTTGTACAAGTGCTGTTCCTACCCTGGCCACGCGGCCTTTACTCCGTGTCGGACAATAACTGCTTACTATCAGCTGCGAGGCCTATACTAAGTGAATCGACCTAGACATCGATCTGACTTACTGACTCCGTTCAAACTCTTGGGTTGACTTTCCTCAGTGTAGCTGACAGCAGCTTACCGCGTTGTGTGCTTATTTCTTATTATTATTATAGCCTGATGAGAATAATCGAAAAGAGATCTCTTCACGATTTGGACTTCTTATCATAACATGGGCATTATTCATGATATGGTAAGGAATTTGAAGGCATTCCAACTGCCTATGTCCATCAGAGACTATGATCAAACGAGTGGTCATAAGGCACAGCTCGAGGCCAATTGAAAAGTCACCTGCTGGTCCCGCACAAACCGACGATCAAATCAGCGGACTGCCATAGCGCACTGAAGAAGTCACCCCGTTTAGCGATGAAATCTTTGAAAACCCATTACGAAGCTCGGAGTACAGGTGAAATCCGGAAGAACCAACCCGTGCTACCTGTGTCTCAAGACATTATAATCTGTAATGGAATATTTTTCATAATGCTAGTAATAGTTTTTATGCATGGGACCGACTATTGCCACAAGAGGAATCAATCTATGGTGACTTATGCTTTTGCAGAAAACATTCGGGTCAGCCTGAGACGCTGAAATTTAACTGTAAGCACTGAATGAACACAATGAGTAAATGGCGCACGCCTATTAATACTTGTGTGTAGGATGAAACGTACATACATTGATTCCCATGTAAAAATAATTGGATGCACAAAACGACTGAAGGACGAATACAGACCAAACATGATCGAATTCGGACACTTCAAGCTTACCTCTGCCCATTTCTAACATCTCCACTGAGGACGATAGGTGCGACGTGAACTGGGTGTGATTCTGTTTGGCCTCCTTCGGACTGAAGCAGGGGAAGTTTCTGCTTGGACTTCTTGTCTGAGAAGAGGCTACTGATTCTTGGTGTCTCTGCTCGCGAACACTTCGTATTGGGCTCTCAACACGTGATACGCCAGTGGAAGCACAGGATCCCATACCAATCAAATGTCTAGACAAGAAAAAGTGGACGAGTGTGCTCAAAAGAAGCAGAGGTGGGCATTGTACTATCAACCAATGCAGCCATGGCTGGCGAAAAATGTGTCAATTCCGGGAATCGGCAACACCAGCAGTTGCCGGCAGCGTATGCCTCATCATCAGATAAGTTTAGACTGACACGCGCGCCGGCTGCGAAATCCAGTGCTCCGTGTTAACTAGTATTTACATCTTCATATGTTTATACCACATTTTTTGCAGTACTCTCATTCGATTCGAATTATCGGGCTTTATGCAACGGGTTTATTTTTTCGAGGTAAGCCCAACGACACACTCGTACACCACAAACGACCTCTTCGGCAGTTTATTCGCTAAGACCTATGCACGCAATCTTGCCTTTTAGAGTTCCATCTGTGACCTTGATATACCGTTGTACCGAGCTTTTTTAAGGCAACCAGACAAGGTTTGTTTTAGTACTGTGCACCACGGTACATCTTAGCTACGTTTTATTTTGTCGTCTTACAATTACTATTGTATTTTTTCATGCGTCTCACCCACAACGTCTATTTGGTTTTGCCCACTTGTGCGCCACCACTACCAAACCCGCCAACCCAACGACAGTTTCCACTGAACGGCGTAGACAAGTGACGCAGTCCAAACGGTGTGATCAGCGCGAGCCAAAAGTGCACACAAACCACTGAGCCATGGGTCGAAGTTTTGTCTGCCGGAAATCTACACTTTTTCGCAGTTAGTTGCATCCCTAACGCTTTCAAATTCTACTGTAAAAGACCTTGTCCCTCCATGGATCTCTCAGAATGGCCCTTAACTTTATTAAATTGCATCCAACGGGGGCGAATACTCCTAAATGTCACTGTGCCCTGAGTAACCAAACTCAAATCAACAAATAGCATTCTACTCTGTGTACTAATCCAACCTGTTATGGTGACCACCGGTCTATGGCGACCAGCCAAAAACATCCCCAACGTTTTCTCCTATGTGTAATGTCCCTATGCATGAACCTGTCCATGGCGACTACCTGGTCAAGGCGAACACTTTTTGTCCGTCACTTGAGTTGTCGCCTTAGAAAGGTTTGACTGATTTAGGATTAATGGTGGATGTTTGTGAGTAGTGTAAAGTTCGAAGAAAGTAGAAGCCACGATTAAAATTCCCGCACAATAATATGCCTCGACGGGGAGTCGAACCCCGGTCCACGAATTTCCGGTCCGCTGCTCTACCACCTGAGCTACCGAGAGCTGACGATTAGGTGCGCAAATTTTAACACATGTCTTCTGCTTGGTGCGCGACGTGTTGCCAATAAGCTCACAGTACCTGTCCTGATGTTGCAGATTGGCTCACTCACCCGTCACTTCCCAATAGACCGAAGTTCCTGTCCTTCAGACGTCCAATGGGTGATGGTAGATTATATGACTTAGGATTGGTCATTCAAAGAACAATACCGAAATTTAGGATCGTTTGCACACGTTGGATGCAATTTGAAAGCGTTAAGGACCAGCTTGTGAGAGCTATGGAAGGACATGACTTTGTAAAGGAGGAAGTTGAGAGCGTTAGGGTTACACATGCTTGAGGAAAGGTGTAGTGAATAGCTAGTTCAGGGGGCAGTTGTGGCTCAGGCAAGCGGATAGCAGAGGTAGTCTCAGGAATCACCTACTCGCTCTGTGCCACTCCTAATGACGGAACAAAGGTGAACTTAGAACTTAACGACCATTTCCAGTTTACACTGGACAGCAGAACCTACTACGCAACCAAAAAGCGATGATGATGATGCGTTCAAACGTCCCAAAACCCACTAGCGAAACCTTAAAATGGTAGACAAACTTAGGAGTGAAACCGCTGAGCTGAGATAAGCTGCGCATTTGGATAGAACATTCGCCCAACTAGTCTTACATGCCTTTCACGAGATCCATCATTTCCGCACGTAGCAGAGCCTCGGTCACTGCGGGTAACATTTGACAACACATACGACCCGGAAGATGTTCCCTTAGCAAACCACATTCTACTGAACTCTGCTGCCAGTGTCAGCATTTTTCCGGACAAGCCATAGGTAGAAAGACAAAAGTGGAAACCGGACTCCAGCTCTTCACGTCAAAATGAAATGAAGAAACTGGTAGTGGCCCATGGTGTCTTAGGATCGAAGCATAGCGAAAACAGTGAACGATTAAAGCACGATTGTGAAGAATGGAGATATATCACAGAAACTTATAACATGCAAAACGTCGTGGCTTTTGAGGTCACCCTTCCGGTTTCCCACCCACAAGCTACGGCTGTCGCGAGTCAAACAGATTGAAAGTCATCTTGGCTATGCCCGAAATAGCACCAGTAACCTAACAACGAAAATCGTGGACCACCAGAAGTACGGTCAAGTGGCACAGACTTCAGGTGCAAATGATAGACTTGGTTGTTCCTGTGTCAGATCAGTCAAGCCTACGAACACATGTTTCATAAAACATCAAACACAACGGACAGAGCTCCTAACACTTCAACAAATGTAATGCTACTACGCTAACACACAAGGGCTGTATTCTAAGCGTCCGGCTCTACGCTTTCGACATGGGACAACAACTTGAGACACTATAGCAAGCACTGAAACTTGACTCTCAAACGGCATACTAACTCCGAAAATTGGAACTAGTAAAGAAGCAATGATACGGGATGACCGTACATCTTGCGATGGCGGTGCTGCTATTTGCTGCTGGTATTAGCTGAAATGTGAAGCCTTTACCGAATATTCCTTTGGTATTCGTCACGCGCATTTTGTCAGCTGCAACTTGAATATCGAGATGGTGAGCCTTAGCAGAAGACGTGTGATGTTTTCCTCTTAGCTGTTGTCTACAGGTCCCCGAACTCCTCCGCAGAGAGAAATGATAAGCAGTTAAACGCTCTCCATTATGCTGTTTTAAAAAAGTGCTCACTGCCATATACTGGGCGACTTCAACGTACCTTCAATAGTATCGGTGTCTTCCAGTGGGATATCAATCAAATCAAAACTTCTCTAGTTCACTGATTTGGCAGTTTGTATAACCATGTGCATCGACCAGCCTGACACCGCGGTACAAACAAACCACCACTTCTGGACTTAATCATGACGAACGAAGATTTTATGATTGAGTCAGTAGCATACCAACCTCCACCAGGTAGTAGTGATGACTCAGTCATAACCTTCGGTTATATCTGTTATCCCGGTCTTGTTAAGGTGGGACGAAATTGACAATTCCGAGCTTCACAACTTAGCGACAAACATTGACCAGTAACTCCAGCCGTACGTTTCAGCGAACGATGCATGGAATGTGATATAAGGTAAAATTAACTGGCTTATACAATCAGTCTAAAAAGTTGTGCCTTTACGAGTGTTGCACCAGACCAATAGTTGGATCCGAAGCAGAACACTTAAATGGATCGCTAGGAGAGATGAGTTTTGGCAACATGCGCTAAGCCCATGTGATACAACTTGGCAAAATTACACAACGATCAGAAACTATTGCACGTCACTCATTAGAGCCGACAAGCAAGAATGACAAGACAAAAGCATACAAGTTTACAAGTAACACCAAATTGCTATGCAGGTATATGCATGGCAAAAGCAAGGTAAAACCTAGACTACCATCACTCATGACGGCCAGTAGCTTAGCGACAAATGCTGCCGATACCGCAAATGCTCTAATTCCGCAGTTTCGACCATTGGCTACAAACCCCATGGAACTTTCGCCTTTTCATCGCAAGCAAGTCTCCTTGGCTTTTCCAACTTCATAACTACGCTAGTAGCTGTCGTAAGGAAATTACAGTCATTCTGGGAAAACAGTGTTCCGGGAATCGACACTATATGCCCAAAGACACTTAAAATCCTTTCTTACACCATAGCCGTAAGTCTTGTAGCCATTTTCCTGGGTTTGCTTGGTTCCCGTACACTCCCAGCTGAGTAGAAAAATAGAAGTATCACTCCAATATGCAAAGCGGGTATGCAATCGGATCCTGCAAACTACCAACCTATTGCTCTCCTTCCTGTTTTATCAACTGGTGGAATCGGTAATAGCAGGCGAACTGACTCGATATTTGTAAGTATGCAAGTAAATTCTAATACCCAACATGGTTTCTGATGCATACGATCTTGTGTGACCAATCTGCTGCTTACTCGGGACTCATGGACCAGGACTGCTTATGAATGAGTCCCCATCGATATGCTTTTCTAAGACTTATATAAGGCTTTCGACAGAGTCAGACACTCACTTCGCCCGCTAAAGCTTGGAGCCTACGGTCTCAACGGTTTCCTGCTCCTTGATTGTAAGGTTACCTAAACGACAGAACAATCAAGATAAGAATAGCCGGCACTCACTCCGAAAGCTTTTGATTCTCTAATGGTGTACCGCATGGACCTGTCCTCGGCGAGCTACTGTTTTGGTCTACATCACTGACCTTCCAGTAAACATTCTATTCCCCATGCAAATATTTGCAGATGATGCTAAGATATGGAGGGTAATTCGCTCAGCATCCGACCGTGTATATCTTCAGAAGGATCTAGGCTGGATTAACGAAGGGGACAGAAATTAACCAGTTCCCACTGAACCCTGCAAAGCGCCACCTTCTAACAGTGCGTAGCAGCCTCAACAACACATATCTTCTGGGACAGCACATTCTAAAAGACGTGGCCAATGTATGGAACTTAGGTATCATCGTACAAGAAAGTCTTAAAAATTCAATTAACTATTCGAAAGCAGCAAATTTGGCATAATTGTAATTGACGATTTTGTGGTGAGCTTTCGGTAACTTCGAGTGACCTCTATTAGACCTGCTGATTAACTCGTATATTCGTCCCCATGTTGAATACGGGGTTTAGGCCTTGCGTCCACGATTAAAACGAGACATTTGTCTTTTGGAACAAAACTAAAGAAGAGCAAACAAGGTAAAGTGTGGATTACCGGCTTACAGTTACGACCTGCGCCTTCGTTTTCTCAGTGTTTTCTCCTCAGAATACCGACGATTTCGCGGAGATCTCATTCGAAC